AATATGGCATCATTTCAAGATCTCAGAAAAGATAGAGAAATTGGTTGCCCTATGTTTCGGTAATGGTCCACTCTTGAGGGAGTCGCCAGGTAGTTACAACTGTTTATTTCTTCCTTTCAAGAGGTATTGCCTTCTAATTCCTATTACATGCGAACAACCCGAACAAATCGCTAAAGAAAGAAGGAAACAAACATTCCTAGTTGAACACGGTGCTTCCTTTTTTGGATTTTTATGAATGTTGTTTTCTTCGGTGGCGATGTCCATTCACTACGGAGGCTTCCATTTGTGAAACGTACATAAGTACATCAGCATTTTTCTTCTGGCCATGGTTGGCAAAGTGTTAGCTGAGTGAATTCTGACTGACCTTGACACAGAAGCCAACAAATGCTGTAGTATTCAAATCGATTCCGCTCATTTCCAATATAGCTGACCGCACATGTTCGGTAATTTTGACAGTTGGCCATATAGCAAAATATAGAAAAGAGCACCAGTTGATGACGATCAGAACATTCACCGCTGATATCAACAGAAATCCTCGACTAGATGAATAGAGAAAGAAGTATTTGGGCCTGAAAATGTGCCAAAAATTTAGAGAGGCTCGAAAAGCTTAAAAATATAATGAAACCGAGCTCATCTGGGCTATCGCCTATTCTCAAGACCTTTTTGGAAGTTGTTCAAGTGGGAGTATAGTGGCAAGTAGCGCATGGTTGGGCCAACCAAGCCTTCCATCAATCCGAGGTCGGTTAGTTGGTGCCAGATTCTTCTGGGATGATAAAATCACTGAGTTGTACATCGGCTGGTCAGCACAACTCAATGTAAAAGCCATGTACCCATTCAATACGCCCTGCTATTCTAAATGGAAGTTGAATATGGGAGCGCATCTCCTCAGACGGGATTGATGAAAATCTTAAGGCTTCATCCCTCATGCTGTCGAAGGCTCCGGGCAGTATGTTGCCCTTTTGTTAACATCATTTTCTTTTTGAGAATGGAAATAAATATTCGCTTTGCCTAAATGGATTAAATCCGCACATTATGTATACAAGCTGATTCCAAGCCTGCTACTGACATGGGTAACATCGTTGGTTTGAAATTTCTACGAAATAGTAACCAATTAATTTCAGAGTAAATCAAAAATCAAACTAATTGCATGGGTAAAGCATATGCTCATCCAAGAGTCTGGGGTTGTGATAGGGAAATTAGCATAGGTCATCACTAATTATTTCATTCTCAGAAATCTATCAAGAAGCTGAGAGGTATCCATAATTACCAATAAATTTTTAACAATTAATCATAAGTGACACATTCAGTTATAAGTGGATAACGCTGGTAAATGTTTGCATAAACTTTTATCCTCACTAATTACATATTCAGAAGGGAAAGACGTGAGGGAATAATTCTAACCGAAGAACAGGTTTCTGCGAATCTAACTTCTCAATACTCACTTTCTCAACTGCAAACCTCTCTCATTCGACTTTCATTTGGAATCGTAGTGGCATTTTGAATGCGCACATACCCCGTACAACGACTTCAGTTTGAAATTTTCCCCAATGAATCTCCAATACCAAATAATTGATCTAAAGGGGTGAAGAATGGTAGGGTCGGACGGTCTCAATCCGGGATTCGATTTGCGACCATATGCATCATTATGCCCCCTTTTGTCGCTAGCTTATTCTACATACCTAATGAGAGCGATGGTGAGAAATCCAACAAAATACATCGGAATATTTGTTGTAAAATAAGAATGTGAAAAGAGACCCCAAATAGGGAAATTCTCAAGTTTGGAAACCCTCATTCTTCAGGAATCGGAAGGAAGGTTATTATTATCTACTTATCTTGATTCGATTTAAAAGATTTAGTATTGGAATTAACTCGGCCTGTCCATCCAGTCCTACAATTTAAAGTCTATTAGAATCCACGGCAACAGGTGGATTTACAGTAGCCCATAAAAGTTAGTAAAGTCAGTGATTCAATAAAAAAATGATGCCTGAAGAGTACTTGCATAACTGGAGGAATTTGTGGAAAAAACTGTTGGCTGTTGTTAAAACTGAAAGCCAATAATTGAGAAGAAATAATTCCACGAGAAACAGATTGAGTGACCAGGATGTAATCAGTCCTGAGCTGACCATCACCCAACAGTAATTCCATGGAACGGCTCTCTAAAAGTAGGTGATAAGTGTACGAACTATGCTACAATATATCACTTGTGTACTTACCGGCACGCTTATCAAAATTGTTAAAGAATGAATAATATTCTGTACAGCGGTTATTGGTACAAAATACTTAGAGGTGTTGATCTTCAAGGGGCGATAAAAATATACTAATAAAAGTAGACAATTCAGTAGAAGAGCTATCGGAGATATGATTTCACTTATAAGAAATATATAGTCTGTAGCCATCTGAAATCCATATTTTGGAGTTGATTTATTTTGTAAAAGATATTCTTGGAGCAACCAGATTTTCGACTATTTTTACCACCAGAAGAAGGGAAGAGAGAGAGAGTAGCGAAGAGGAAATCCGAAAGTCACGGTCGATTCAGGATAGGTACAGCCTAGGCCAG